CCGTTACGCTGCCGCAGTAACGGCTCTCGCCGCCCCTCCCCCCCGCGCTGGGACGAGGGCACCTGTGGAGAGGCCACCTGTGAGCGCACGACGCGCGCGCACCTCCTCTGGGGCTGCCAAGGGCTGCGGAGCTGCCCCGCGCCTACGCCGTGGCGTTAGCGTCCCCCGTCTCTGTCACGGTCCCCCACTGCGCTCCTCGGGCCGTGGGGAGCAGGGGACGAGGGTTCCCCCCGCTGTGCCTGTCCCGGCAGGGAGGGAGATGCAGAGCAGAAACGCCCCGTGCGCGTACCTAGGGCGAGCAGAGGAGAGATCAGACGGCCTCGCCGTGTTTGCGGGGTTGTCGCTCTCCGAACCCAATCCAAAAAGGGAACTTCAAAATCTTTGATAGTAGTGCCAAGGTGCTGCTCATAATTATGTCCCTAGATAGTGGGAAAGCCTGATTCTTCAAGCTGTTGCAGGTGCCTGCGACCTGCTGCAGTCGTTTGAAGCTCATCATCCTGGTGAGAATAAGGAGAGCTAAAAACCTGTGCTACCTCTTTGGGCCTCTGTTATTTAAAGTGGGGCTCCATGTAGCTTCGGGGCTTGTGCTGGTGACTTGACTCCAATTTCTGCTAACAGTGCTGATATTTTTAAGGCTGTGATATCAAATACACGCGTCAATTAGGAAGTTTCCAAAGTGAAGCTTGCTGAAGGTAAAAAAACGCTTGTCCCCATGGCACGCGGGAATGCATGAACGCGCCTCGAGTACGCGAGAGACGAGTTCATGCTGCTGGCGCAGCCTTGTTGTCTGGGCTCCTGACATGTGACTCCTCTCGGTTGGCTTTTGCAGTGGTCCCTAAAATGGAGCAATGTTTGCGCAGCTCTGGTACACTGTAGCGTGTCACTATAAATGCTTCATGCTAACTCTGCGTATCCAGTCCTGCTTAAAGGTGCAGCTCAAATGCAGTTGATAGTGCCTGTTTAACTGCTAATCTGACCGTCACTGACAATCCAGATGCCTGTTTTACCACAAAGAGACCTGTGGTTGCATAACGTTGAATTAAATATTTGGAGGTGAGGGGGGAACCGGGGCAGAGGATGTACAAGGGCTGCACAGTTGTGTCATTGGCATTGCTATATGAGAGCAGAGGTGGGAGAACCAATCACTTCAGGTGTCTTTACTGTCAGCACTTGTGCAAAGG